TGCATCATTTTGTGAAGATTCCTTTCAGAGTTTTCAAGCATGTGTTGAATGTTGCTTCCAGAATATATGCAATACGATTAGACCTTAAAATTGTAGGTACATGTCTTACGTCGGAATGTATTGCTCTTTCACAATGAACTTTCGAACGTTTGCTTGACTCGTGAGCATCTCTCCCATTCGTGACAGTTTTCCTGCACTTGTGCTTTTTATGAGTGGAACGCAAACTGTAGGAATTCAAAGCTGTTTGAATTTAAAGGCAAGATTCAGGATTGAATTGATGGGGTGATTCCACTCAAATGTGAAAGTAGGGGTGGGAGGTGGACCGCCAGTGGAGAAAAAAGGAAAGAAATCCTGAAATACACAGGAAATACGAGCATTTTGCTCTATGCTGTGGAGAAGTTCAAAAGGCCGGCAGGGAGATGAGAGATAATGTGAGCGCGGAGAGCGGTAGAGAAGTCCGAGTAGAGAGAGCATAGCAGATCAAGTTAGCGACGCAGACAAGATATCGAGCGGTGGGCGGAGCGTGTCGCAACAGGTGGAGCGTGTCAAAGTTCTTAGCGCCTAGTAACGCTTTTCGAAGTAGGGAAGTGACGCGACCTCTGCACTTGCGTACCTAGCGCTTCTAGCCACGTAAAGGCTCAGTAAGTGGGTCTAAGCCCGAACTTGGCCTCTAACCAAAAATAGCATTCGTGCAAATGTCTCGTCGGGGGTAAAAAAAACTACTGTGCCTACCTCACAGTATTTAGGAAGGGCAAATTTATTTATTTATTTGCGCTTGAAAAACGAGCCATAAAAAGAATTGAATTGTCATGGAGACAAAAGATTTCTCAAAACTGTAATAATACTAGTAACAAAGCAATCAACCTGAGATTGAATTCACCAAGCTATTGTAACGAACCAGGGCGGAAGTGGTGTAGTGGCAAGTGGCACGCTTACCACGCGAGCGGTCCGGGGATCAAATCCTGGGTCGTGAGTCGCCCGGGCCAACCAAGCCTTCCATCCCTCCGGGGTCGGTTAATTGGTACCAGACTTGTCTGGGAGGATAAAAACACTGACTTGTACATCGGCTGGCCCCCGCAAGTCATTGTATAGGCCACATCGCATTCAAACGCCACTACGAATGTACAAATGGAAGTAGAATGCGTGCCGCATCCCAAAAGGGATTGATCAACGGCAATTCCCCTTTTATTTTATTTGTAACCAACGACGGATGGGCTTGCAGGCCAAGCGATTCCCAATTTTTTCGCGATCTAGTGAAACGTAGGAGAGATTATAGCACTTATTTTTGTAACAATGGTAAGAATGCCTTAACTTCAACATAAAGCAGCGATTCAAGGTAAACTGATCAGCCAATCCCGCTACACGAGAAGTGGACTTCATGAATACTAGACGCGCCGTACTCTGACTTAGGCCTCAACACGAACCTGCATCAGCCGGCCATGATATCCACTTGCAACTATGTTAGGGGTCGTAGGAGCCTACTGAAACTTCGAGACACGGGTATATCGACCACCCTGGTGTACCGCACAAAACCACCGTTCATGTAACTACAACGAAGCCTGAACAATACTTCGCCTAAAAAATAAAATCTGAAGGACTTGCCTCTAATATAAATAGTTATCATGCACTGCAACTTGCTGTGAAGTGAGGGGTGTCACGACTCCAAAGTGATCGTGACACAAGCACCTCTGAGTAACTTTACTATTATTCATTTATTATTGTAGTAGTAGTTGAAGTGTGTCGAAAAAAACCAACGCAGAAAATAAACCGGAAGAAAAGTTGAGAGATTGGTCAAACTCGGGAAGTATTGGCAGTTCAGGTTAGTGTCTATTTTGGTGCGTGAAGTTACACCAATTACGAAAATCTAGCGGTTGGTCCGGACGAGTTGTCGTTGTCATATGTCGAGTTGTTGTTTGTCATATGTCCAGAGGACAAGGCTGCTGCGAAGGAGCGCGCCTTGCGAACACCTCCCTTCTTCTACACCTCACTTCCTTGGCAGCCAAGTTACTGCTCCGTGTGGCGCTTATACATCCATGATCTACCCTTCTATCGTGATTGCGACGCTGAGTACTGGACAGAGCACCTTGTCAGCAGGGCTTCAACCTGATTCCGGATTCGGGCCCCGGCTAAGGCAGAGTTCAGCCAAAGTCACCATTTTTACGATGGCTTTCACATGGTGTGCTGCAATAAAAGCAGTATTCTGCGAGATAGAACGAATCAAAGATTCTATCTACCTTCCCTGAGCACAAAATTACCCCAATGGTAAGTTAGAATTGCGAAAGCAGAAGGGAGCGAAAACAGAAAGTAGACTTTTAAATAATGAAGGGGATACAGGTACTGCCTTCGAGAGCGAGCGTTACTCAGCGATCGAGGGATAGTCCGGCAGCATTTGGCGGTCGTGCCGCTCACCGTGGCGGGACTACAGCGCACAAAAAAATGACAAAAATTGTCAGATGGACCCTATATTTGATGCACTGTGACTTTCTCCTCAACGACTATTTCAAAAAGAAAAGGCAGATTTTGTAGGCACAAGACTCTAGTTTTTACGTTTCATTGAGCTTTTTCTCAGACTCTTCTAACCCCGAGGGTGGAGATGTCGAGGAATGAAATACATGCGAGATTCCACTCATTGACCTGGATTGGCTAGGCGGACGATTAACTGGCATCAAACATTACCTGGCCCGGTAGGTCGTCCAGGATGTGGAAAGCTTTTTCAAAACGATTCTGTGTATGTTACAGAAGATCATACGTGGACTACAAAACCGTGGTTCATTTTCGCTGAGCGTCCCTGGGAGGCACGTAATATAGTGACGAAAATGGTCAAGGATTCAAATTCCATCGCGATGACTAAAAATTTTGCATTTAAGGTGGAGAGTATTCAAGTTCGCCCTCAAATAACGCCCAGTTGACCAACAATAGATATTCATATCCACTAAAACAGACCATCAATAATGTTCATTCCAAGCATTTTTACCGTAATCTGGCGGAAAACAATTGTCGGGCCACAGGGGCGCCAAATGGCGCCGAAGCGGCGTGAATTGGCGCCAACGGAAAAGATGGATGTCATATTCGTAAACAGGGCACTCGATGTCTTTTCTAATAGCGCTTTTAAAGGCAACTGAGATTTCGACCCAGATCAGAAAAATTGGCCGTTGATGCTCATAGATGCCTCCAGCCGGTGAACTGAAACGAATTCCGACTTAGTATTCCTTCCCAAATAATGAGAACTTCCACTGAATGGACAGTGGGAGATACCCAAACTAATAATGTACAACAGGAGATGCATGATGATGGAGTTGGCAAATTTTTGTCTCTATCAAGACGTGAGATTTTGGGTCCACGGCTCCTCCACTTGCAAGACTTCATCTCAATAGCTGGAGCGATTTCGAGGACTGCGACGTGGTAAGCGATGCTCTTCATCAAGTCGAAGTTCGGATACCGTGAATCATAGAGCATTTCGCTTCATTTCGCGCCGTCGCTGGTCAGTTTTAGTAACAGCGCCGGATGTAACTTGACGCTATAGCATGAGCCACTTCTTGGAAGTTATGTCACGAGAGGATTCAGATCTTTCCGTTGCATATGAGGTAATTCATATTTTCCTGACGGACGCAGGTTTCGTGTAGAAAATCCATTTGCAAAGGCAATTAATGGTCCTGATTGTGAATATAGGGTTAGTTTTGACGCTGAAGCAATATATCGCCATTTTGGAAGAATTAATCACAAAAGGCACTCTCCGCCGTGCCAACTCCAATCCACCACGCTATCCACTTGACACGCGCTGCGAGTGGTGCGACGCCGACGACACTTAAGTAACATCGCAACTCAGCACTACCCTGACTCAACTTTTTGCAAAGGGAATATTCAACGCTGTTTTCGGAATTATCTCTCATAAGTCATTCGTATGCGGGTGGGCTTTTCTTACAAGTCCGAAAGGTCAAGAAGTAAAAACCACCATTCTTTAACAAGTTTTTTTTTCCGTTGTGGCTTTCAGCGAGGGCGTACTCAGCGAAAATTAAACAGTATTGTAGCCCTCTGTGGAGCAGCCTACAGCATTGCAAAAAAACCGTTATGAAAAAAAGTGTTCCACACTTCTGAACGATCCTCCGCGGGATTAGACACGCTCAACCATGACTACTTCGGAAATACGCTTCCGGGTGTGGCAAAAAATCGGGCAGGGAGCAGGAGAATCCTGATCCACGTGGCGGGATGAGTCGTTCTCCGAAATTGTGAAAAAGTTCAAACTACAAGTTAAAGCGGCTCCAATAACTTACCACTTCAAACTAAACCATATTTAAAATGACGCTACCTCAGTTACCCATGTTACAAACACAATAACAAGTCGTCAGAAATTTTTATCTCGTCTATGAGAAATATGGTATCAAATTGAAAATCTAAACTCTACGACTCATTTAATAGTGATGAATTCACTTGAGCGCTGCGAAAGCCTTCGGCATGGCACAATCGTCCAGATGGTGAACGAAGTCAGACATTTCCTGAAATTATGAGCTTAGTAAGATTTCCACACCTGGAAATATAACGTTACTGCATATGTATGTTAGAAGATAACATTGTGAAAAGAAAAGGGGAAGGTAAGAAGACATTTCAATCCAAGTTACCGAAAGAAACAGCGATATTCTGGGAAAGATTTCGCTACGGTATATTTTATCGCACGCACTCGAATCCACAACGCTGCGTGCGATAGAAACAAAAAAATGAATGTAGATCTATTGCGGAACAAATAGCGGCCTTAACATATACCCTATGATTTCGATCTAGACGAAAGCCACTTTTCAGCTAAGGTGCACTCAAGAAAATAGTTCATGCAGCTGTCACAATGTCAACAACATCACCAAATTCCATATTCTCAGAAAATTGTATTTAAGCACAACAGTAGCACTTCAATTTTCAAAAAAAAAGCTTGTGTCAAGACTACACGCCACGCACAAATGTGTGCTTTGATTATGACAAAATGCTCAAATCATGATTTGCGACGAAGGCACATGTCCAAATTGGACACGAAGAAATGATATGCACTCCTGATGTTTGAGAAGGTTGCTTTTGCTCTACAATGTTTGAGTTCATAATCAGCAGGCCAAATAAGAGAGTTGTAGAAATTCAGAATCCGCAGAAAAGACTAAATAAGTGTCACTTCCAGCTTCATACAGAGCATTTAATAAGTGTTGATAATGTGATTCATGCAGTGTTTTGTTTTACTCTCCAAGTTTCGAAGACAAACTCGGTGTAACTTTGAGTTTATCCATGACATCTCGCCGACTAATCAAATTCATTACGCGATACACCGTACTCACATGATTCAAACACTGTTTCAAGGAAAATTACCTGGTGGCAAGACTCCTCCGTGTTACTACGACTGTTCACACGGTCATTACATTCCTCAAGCACAGCTTTGAAGTCCGCAGCATGATCAGCGCACCGCTCCCGCCATTGTGTTAACTGATCAACACCCTCCTCCAAAGGTTCATTGTGTTCTGGCATCGTACCTGCAGCAGCAAACACAATTGAAACAACTTTCGAAATCAATCTGCAGGTGAAAACAATTGCAGCTGTTTCATTCCTCCTGAGCCATGGTTATAAACAATTCTGCAAAGTTTTCGAAATTCTTCTATTAAGCGATATTCTAGTGCAAAACACAACCAAACACAAGAACGGCTTGTAAATTATTTATACTACCCAATATGGGAAGTATTAATCATTTAGATGGAACAGTATACGAACGAATGAACGAACCATAAGAACATAACGTTGGAATTAAAAGAAGACAAGAGGAAATGGCGTCCAACGCTGAAGAGGTGTAGTAAATTGTGAGATGCAAAAAACCAGCAGTATCAACTCATCCGAAAACAACGAAAACACAGTGAGGAATATCTACCAGTCTGTAAAAAACAATACTAGAAGGGCTTCGAACACTTCAATTACTCAGTAAAACTACTCGAGAACGACTTCCAACGAGCGATTTGCGGAATTCACACGAATAAATATGTTCAATGTAAGGAGAGGGAACACTCCGAGACGTGATGAATATCGTTCACAATCTCAAATTGATTCGCTCCACTGAAATATTCCTTTATTGTGAATTACTTTCGGAATCGTGCTGGAGGTGAGGGTGAGCGCGGACGAGGTCGTTTACCAAGAGACTGATAGACCTCTCGTTCTCGGATCTTGCTTCGTTCCTTAATGTGAGCACATTTGTACATTATTAGTTAATATTCAATATTAACAACTTGTCTATTTTTTCATCTTTTTTCAACCCCATCGAGTCGTAGCTTCGAATACATTTCAGCTGGAGGAAAAATTTCGAAAATATTTCCAAGGGTCTCCTTACCTACGTTCAATGGGCCGAACATCCAGAAAATGAATGAGAATGTATCAATGCATAGACAATGAACAATTTTCTTCTGGAGTTCCATGCTCACATAATGCCACACACCATTTGGAAAAGACGCCTGCTCTCAAAATATCTTGCTTTCCTCCCACATGTGGCGGAAGTGGTGTAGTGGCAAGTGGCACGCTTACCACGCGAGCGGTCCGGGGATCAAATCCTGGGTCGTGAGTCGCCCGGGCCAACCAAGCCTTCCATCCCAGACTTGTCTGGGAGGATAAAAACACTGACTTGTACATCGGCTGGCCCCCGCAAGTCATTGTATAGGCCACATCGCATTCAAACGCCACTACGAATGTACAAATGGAAGTAGAATGCGTGCCGCATCCCAAAAAGGGATTGATCAACGGCAAATGCTTTATCCTTTATCCTTATCCCTCCTCCCACATTCAATGTGAACTGATTAACTCCAAGCTCACACAAAGGAACCTCCAGTTAACGAAAAATAGAGAAACCGGCAACTAACTCAACTCTAAACTTCAATAAAAATTTCACATTTTATGTGACAGCTATACCATGGCATGTTTTTGAACGTTTACGTATTGGGTACCTAATCAGGGGGAATAACCAGTTATTTCGAAATTTTTTCACCAAAAAATTAGCGAAAAACCAATCAATGATTTGCTTCCTACACAGTTACTACGATTTTGAACGTTTCCTCAGTTTTCCAATGTCTCGGCGTTCGAATTCCGATCTATCCTAGATTACAATCTAGATCTATTGGGTTGACCCATAATTTCTGGCCGAATTTCAACACTTTGATTTCTTCAAGTTTATCTTTCCTAAAGAACAATTGATCAAAAAATAACCACCATCATAATCACTGATATGCATCCATTTGCTAGGGAACGAATGGATGCATTCCTCCCAGAACGAATGAAGCTGTGGATGAAAAGTTCGGAGAGGTCGTTTTTGGGGTGGTTGTATTTACTGACTTTTTTCTCTCCTAGCTGCTGCTTCAGGGAGCTGGGGAGGTGATAGTACGATGGAGCAATGTCAGGGCTATACGACAGATGTGGTGTCGTGGTCCAGCCAGTTTCCCTCGAAACGTGGCGAGTTATCTTTGCAATGTGATTTCGGGCGGTCCTTCGGAGAAAGGAGATTTTGAGACGTTTCGAACCGTTCTCCCGCACTGCTGCGGCCAACTTCGGGAGCTATTCCATGGTTACCTTCGCAATGCTTGTCTGCATAAAGTGAAATGGTTCCCAAAACAGGATACCCAGCGAATCCAACGAGCGGGGGGTAATATCCTCTGATGAGAGAGCTCATGCTTTGTTCGAGATGGTGAGTCCAGGCTGCGAGGTAGCCACAAGGCATGCTGTGTGTTACTATCGTGGTGGACTCATGACTCATCTGCATTAGTGAACAACTAGGGAGTGTCGTGTCTATATGGTTGACGAATGAAACTTCTGCAGATGGTCAGGCGTGCTTCTCGGTC